ATTTCAATCTGCTGCATGCTTGAAAAAGTACCATACCATATCATTAATGGAAGACAAGTTTTGCCCTGAACCTATCTCAGCATTTGGGATGAGTAACCATGTCTACAAATCCAGGGCAGTAAGAAAAAAGTCATAGGAACAGAAAGAGATTTTTGTGGGCAGAGATCCCACCAACATTTATTATCATTTTTTAATTTTATCTCAAGGATGGGAATAATTCCTCCCCACTTTTGGTGCAATTTTGATAGCTTGGTGGCTTACTGAGGTCTACTTGGTTGAGCTGAATCAATAATAGCATCTTCTGTGGCTTTTAATTGCTGTTGTTTTAATGATCAGAAATAAATTAAGCTTAGGAGATGCTGGTATAGGATGTGCTACCAAACCATCTCTAGGTGGCTGTACTCCCAGCCCCTTAAAAAAAGTATAAAAGATGGCGAAAGTTGCAAACACAATGAATCTTGGCATAGACTAAAAACTTCAGAGAAATAGATGTTGTGCAAATGTTGGTCCAGGAGCTTTGTGTGTTGGGTTCTTAGCAAATCTATAAGACACATTGATAGGTATGTTTCTCCCCCTCTGCAATTCTCTTACTGTTTATTCAAGTAATTCAAATCAGCCAGGGTTAGATAGATGTACCTGATAGGTATGTATTTTAAAAACAACCCCTTGCTAATGATTCTTGCAAACTCTTGAAATGCTTATGTGGACATCTGAGGAGTGGGATTCAAATTTTTTAAGAACTGATTCTGTGGGCATGGCTAGGTGGGTGTGGCTAAGTGGGCATGGCCATGTGACTGGGTGGGCGTGGCTTCTTCTTTTTTGCAGCAAAAACCTCCCCATTTTTTTTGCCTCAGGGAAGCCTCCTGGTAGGGGGCGTTTTTGCTCCCAGAAGGATTCCCTGGAGCCCAGGAAGGCAAATACGGAGCATGAGGGGGGCATGCAGCACCCTTCTATACTCCACTTTTGGGCCTCCTGGGCCTCAGAGAAGCCTCCTGGGGGGGAGTTTTGTTCCCAGGAAGCTTCTCTGGGGCCCAGGAAGGCAAAAAACAGAGTGCATGGGGGGGCACGCAGCATACCCACACCCCTTTTTGCCTCCTGGGCCTCAGGGAAGCCTCCTGGGTGAAGCAGTAAGACAATGATGGGCATCCTGGCACAGCTGATCATCAGAACAGCTGATCGTCAGGAGGGGGAAAAAAAAGAGAAATACCTTAAGGAGTAACTGGGCAGGGGAGAATGCAGCCAGCAATGTCAGGCATGCACCTGATGGATTGGTGGGGAGGGGAGGAGAAGGGTGGGCGGAGAGGGGTGGGGGCCAGCCAGGGGCATGATTTGCCGGTTCTCAGAACTGCGCAGAATCATAACAACCGGTTCTATAGAACCGGTCTGAACCGGTAGAATCCCACCCCTGCGACACTTGTAGATTCCACCCCCCCACCCCCAGGATGTGAAAAGAGCTGCAGCAATAGATAGGACCAGAGTTTGTGCATATTGTGTGCATTACCATGTCACATTTATCCATTTTTCTGATAGGTGTACTCTGTGGTTGTTATACTTTATGTTGGAAATATAATATAGGACTTTTATGACCATTTGTGCAGTAACTCTGTTTTCTGTGCAGTAGCTCTGTAATTCATTCCCTTTTTCACTTGTAACTTTCTATTGCCAGTGGGATACTTGGACACAACTTCTAATCCATGCTTCCCTCTTGTGGACAGAGCTGAAGTAGCAGTCACTGTGCTCCTCCTGGCCCTTTTAAATAGTGGTGTCTTATGGCACCATAGAGATTATTTTGCAGGGAAAATTTATGCCTTCCAGATTCTTGAAACTTTAAGGTTCCCCATGTCTCTTCGTTATGACAGACTGTTTCACTGATTTTTTTTAAAAAAATATTTATCATAAAAGAGACAGTTGAGTGTAGCGGTTAAGGAGTTGGTTTAGAAACCAGGATTCTTTCTTCAAGCACAAAAGTATTCTATTTCAGCCCAACCCACCTCAAAGCAGGAGTGGGATGCTACTGGTTCTGCCTGGCTCTGTAGAACAGGTATCTCTGAAGAGCAGCAGACACAGAACCGGTTCTGTGTCTGCTGCTGTGTGGCCCACCCACCCACCCGGGCTCTTACCTGTACTTTATTTCCTGCTTTTTCAACCTCAGCTGCTTTGTGCGGCACAGCTGAGGTTGAAAAAGCAGCAAATAAGTGCTTTTTGAAATGCTGCGCAGGGGTGCAGCTGTCCTGGTGGCTCAGCTAATAGTGTAATACATGCACGCACAGCCCACGTCTGGTGCGTGTGCACACGAAGCACGCATGTGCGCACAAAATGCAAATATCGAACTGGTAGTAATGCCGGTTGAATCCCACCCCTGCATTGCAGGATTACTGCTGTGGGGAATATAGGAGACGGGGACATTATGTATGCCATTTTGAGTTGAGTTGTACAAAATTAAGTAAACTAATCATAATAGTGGAGTACAGGGGATGTATTCGAAAGCAATTGTATTCATGGGAAGAAGAGGAGGAAGAGATGAAACTACAACTCTTAGCTGGGTAATATATTGTGGATTTTTATCTTCCCCACCATGCACATCAGAAATAGTCCAAGAATTACACCTGAGCTACATTGACAAGAGTGGCAGCTTGATGGATGTCCTTGAATCTCCACTATTCCAATACTAATAGGACAATGCAATTTATTGGGAATCAACAGTACAATACCCAAGTAAGAAAAACAAGGCAATTTTTTTATCATGAGGCAGAAAGCAGAAGCACACACATGCATGTGCATACATGCATGTGTGTATGTTGAATCAATTTTCCATTTGGCAATTTCCCACGTGACCAGTCCTTGCAGTTTCTTTTGGCAAGGTTTCAGAAACTGTTTGGCCTTGCCTCCTTCCTAGGGCTGAAAGGCCCAAGGTCACCCAGCTGTTTTTCTTGTCTAAGATAGAATAGAACTCCTGGTCTCCTGGTTTCTAGCCTGATGCCTGAATCACTACATCAGGCTGGCTCTGAAGTGGTATATTTGCATGGTAGAAAACTAATTAATATTCCATCTTGAAAAATGTGACTACGCCAAAGAGGACGATAGAATAGAACAAATGTTTTCGTGATATAGGTAGGAATAATTTTGATTCACAATGTCTGGTGTCATTATCATGTAGATTTGACTTTGACCTAATGATACTCCAAACTCTTATCTTCTCTCCCATGAAAAAGTGAAAGCTATTGACTCTTAGCAGAAAATTGATGTAAACAGTGGGGAACCCTGATGAATTAAGGATAATACAGATGCCCAGCTATGCCATGAAGTGCCCTATATCCTCCAAGGCTTGTGTAATAATAGGTCTTTGATCCATCTCCATGTCAATGTAAGTCTTTTGTCCATGTTCATTTAATACTTTGGTAGTTTCAAAGAAAGTCAAAAGATTCTCCATTGGCTCGCTTAATAGCAGGCTGGCCAGTTTTAATCCAGCGTATACTGAACACAGAGACTTGTTTTAGGCCATGCACACAGACTTAACTGAATGCATAACTTTATTAAATAAATGCTTTGTCATAAGAAAAGACAAAGATCAAAGAGTAACATAAATTATAACTTGAATAAATAGTATACAGCAATCTTCACCTTTTAATAAAATGTGAGATTCTTTTTTTTTTTAAGTACAAAATGCTAAACAGAGCATTACACTCCTCATCCATTGTCAGATTTTATTTTTTCACAAACTGCATTTTCCCCCCACTGGTAAGAGTATGAATATTCTTGTTTACTGCAAAAAGGAAAACAAAAACAAAACAGCCACAGAACTAATGTATGTATGTAAAGCTATAAAAAACTACTGTAAAATGTGTAGTGAATAAATGGTGTAATGAAAAACAAAACCAAAACCAGGCAGGAATCTCGGAATCTTGTCTGTTCACTGTGCTATCGTGGGGTGTAATCATTGCATTGGAAGGGCTTAAAGTGGGGCAAGGTTGGAAATGGAAGGACTCAAGTTTTGGGGCATTAACCAAGCAGCTCCTAACAAGAAGGGGGGGACTGGGAATTGGGATGACTGGCTAGCTGCGTAAGTTATCTAGGCTCTGTTAAAAGTGAAAGAAGGAAGGAGAGAGGGATGAAGTGGAGAAATAGTGCAGTCCTCCTCTTTGAACTAGTGGTTTCAAAATACAACTGTCCACCATAGCACTGACAAAGGATCTCTGGCTGCAAATAGGTTTGGGCTATTCTAGAAGCTGCCTGTCTTAGAATATTATCAGCTGCAGTGTGACTCTCTAGAGAAGTCTTCTTCTGACCTGGTACTTTCCAGATGCATTGAAACCCTAATGTCTGGCTGCGGTGGCTTAGGATTTGGAGAGTGTTAAGACACACCTGGAGATTCTTCAGGTTGGAGAAGGCTCATTAGCGGTCTAGCTGTGCTCCTAATCCCAACTGGCTGATGATGCTCTTGGAGTTCAGAATTTACTAGCTTTGGTGCCTCCGAAGCCTCCTTTGCACTTCCATTCTTTATACTTCTGAAGGGAGTTTCCCCCACTGCTTTGTCTTTTTTTTAATCATTTTTCTTACCTCCTCTCACTGTGATTCGCTCCTCTGATGGGAGGAGGGTCATTTATTGGGGGAAAAGTAATCAGGGGAGCTTTCTCCCTTTGGTCAAGAATAAAGATGGGATTCAAAGCAGCAGGGGTTGTTGGCCAAAGTGACTTGCTTCCCTTTTCCTCTGCTTAGGGCAGGGTTGAACAAACTATTTTGGACTTGGGTAGGAAACCTAGAAAGACCTCTTCTTTGAAGGAAAGAAAGAAAGATGGCCTTTATCCAGAACCAACTGCCCGAAGCAATTTCATCTTTTTCCAACTGGCTGGACTTGAAGGTAAAGAAGATGAATAGTGGAGAAAGAGTAACTTCTACGGGTTGAAGTCTACAATGTTTACCTATCCTCTGGGCTATTTAAGTCAAGATTAAACAATACAAATGTAAGAGAGGTTCTACTATAGCTAATGTACTTGACTTGGTTTCTCTTTGTTGTCTCTGTCAGCCAAATAATAAGATGAAGGGATTATCCTTGGAGGCAGTCAATGACTTTCTGAGACAGTCGTGGCAGAAATATTGCATTGGGACTGACAAAGGAACAGCTATATGGGGCAATTATTCCTTCAAGTCACCTCCCTTGACTGTAAAGTTTGTCTTATGTGTTTCACAGATAGGAAGACCAGTGACCTTCCTCAAGCCTGTTTACTGAGGAAGAAAGGCTAGCATTTTCTATGCAGGGTAATGTTTTCAAGTGTCAGGAAACAACAGATACATATTGTTGGGGAGGAGGAAATAACATGGTTTGAGTTAAAACTAGTCCAGGGAGTGAAGGAAGAAGAGTTTCAGATACATTCTTTCGTCTTAGGTAATTTAGGATGAATTGTATCTCAGACGGACACTTAGCAATAATTTTTCTTTCTAACAATGATTATTTCTCTTTCTAGGAACCTTAGGAAATTTAGTCATATAGTAGAATTCTGGACACTCTTAGAAAGCTAATGCTGTCAAGATACTTTGGAAAGAGCTAAGAAAAAAAATAATTATAGTAATAGAAACTCAGCATGATCTGTAACTTTGCCTCACTTACTTTTCTTATGTGCCTAGTACATCTCCTTCCACTTTATGTACTAGGCAGATAGCATGTATATGTACCTCACCTTCTCTTCTTTAACGCTAGCTTTACAGAAAGGGGTGTTGATTTTGGAATCCTCAGGCTTTCTCTCTCTTAAAACAATCATGAGACAAATGCTTTTGTTAGAAAAGTCCCTGCCCTATAGAAAATAAAGAGGCTCCAACCCATCCTTAGGCAGGGTCAGTTTCATTTGAAAGGGGACCAATCTCAGCCTCCACCATCAAACATCAGAAGTTAGCAGATACATGAGAAGAACCACTCTGTTCCTCTTGTCTTGTCTAGTCTAGTCATAATGGATGGAAGACAAAGGAGTTTTCTAAATGAACTTTCCTGGAAATGTCAGGCCCAGAGTAAAGATAGCAATAATCATGGCAGGGATTGGTCATTTGAAGGAATTCTAAGACAAATTATTTTTTCACAATATTAGGCCACCCCAGCTGGGAAAGCTGGCCATTTTTCCAAAGAGACCCATGGCTGCCATTTGACTATTGTTGGAGAAGAAATTTCATCCTCAGGGCTTGAGAAGTCTGTGGTTTAGCAGTGATTGATGGGGGTTCGATCTAACTCTTCCCAGCTCCTATTCATAGAAGATTTGACAAAAAAAAATGTAAATCACACACAAATCTCTTGCTCGGGCATAAGTTACCACAGAGGCTGGCTAAAAAAGTGTGTTGAGTTGCCAACAGCACAGCTTCTTCCTCCTTTCACCATCACATTGATATGTACTATTTTCATGGATCATATACTTAGGATGGAGAAGTCCATTCATACAATTTCTGGATTTATTATGTAGACCAAGCTTCTCCTACTTGATGCCATTGACACCATCCTAACAGAAGAACTTTTCCCTGGGGATTTTGAGGATCACTGTCCCAACACTTTCAAGAATTGTCAAGTTGGAGAAGCTGGCACAGAATTTATGAAGGAACTACACTGTCATTAAATAGCATTAGTGGTCTCTAGCATCTTATCTATTATAGAATTTGAAAGGAAGGTTTAGGCTTTTGACTAATTATAGAGCCAGCAGAATACTTCAGGGCTTTCTTAGAACAGAAGAGGACATAAACAATTCAACCAGCTACCAGCCCAGTGCAGATAGTAAACTTAGGTATATTACTCTCTTCCTAAAGCAGGATGGGAAGGGGAAAAGTACTTGGATCCAGCTGTCACAGTAGCAAATATTTCAATCAAAAGTACAGTTAAACCATTTGTTTGGATGAAAGCTCATGGTAGGCTGAGCCTCAACTCTTAGAAGAATAGCTATGAAATCACTGCTGCCAAAGCCCAGGGAAGATGACAGATGGAGCACTTAGAGGTGACAATTTCTGGAAATAACGAATAATTGGATCAGATATCAAGACGTAGGACAAATGGATAGAGCTGAATTTTTCTTTCATGATTGATAGTAACCAAAAAATAATCAGACTTCAAACATGTATACCTACTGAAGGAATAAAATGTTTGCATCCGTCCTTATAAGGAGAGGATTTTGCCCATCTACCTTCTGCTTTCATAGTGAGGCCAAATATCCCATTTTTTTTTTTTTTGGCCAATTCCCATATCCCTGCTAATGCCAGATATTCATTAGCTTTCCAATGTAGTTTTGGAACCTAGTTGAATATTAGTAATGAAAAGAGAGGAGCCGAAGAGCAAAACCCACCACAGTCACTTGGATGCAATAGCCAATCCTGTCAGGAGGATTTCTTATTTCCTTTCATCTGTGTTAGCTGTGAGTTTTGTGCATCACGGGTGTCCTTCTGGTTCTTCCATCAGTAGCATCCTTTCCGGATGCTGGACAGTCATGGGCTTGCTGTTCCTGCTCCCAGGAAGCCAGCTTTTTTTTCTCCATGCTTCTGATCAGTACTTGGCTTGGAAGTGATTGCAGTCAGCCCCAGCAAGATCCTCAAGTCCTTTAGAGTCCTCTCTTGGAAGGGAAATATATTCAGGACTGTTTTATATTGGCTAATCAGATCATGGCAGGCCAATATTTCTTGCTGGCTGCTATTTCAAGGATTCATCCCACAATCAGAATGGGAGCTGTTCTTTCTTGTTGTTGCCTTGCCTTTCATTCATTATTATGGGCATTGGGAAAAAAACAACAACCTTGTTATTGGCAGCGTCCATGAAAACATAACAAAGGATTAAAGCAACAATTATAGTTACAAAAAAATTAAACGGCTTTAGTGGTCTGCCCAAGCCTGAATGCCAAAGCTGTTGAATCAATGGTCTCTGCAAGTGGTTGTATGGGTTTGGTTTCTCTTCCTTTCCTGACAGGGTCCCTAGGTTTTTCAAAGTGGGGCACTGTCAAAAATTAAATAGATACAGCCTCTCCCCAGGACAAATAACACATTAGTATAGTAGATCAAATCATCACTGTTGAATTTCTGCTTTCTAAGCAGCTGTTAGAGATGCCGAATTCTGTCAGGAGAGAGAGAGACAGAGGGGAAAAAGGATAATTTCTTTTCAGCCAGTCACTCAAGTAGGCTTTGAAATAGTAGAGGCTTCTGCCTACAGAGATTTCTCTAAATGTTGTAGATATGGGGAAATGGTAAAACATTTACCTTATTACAGATCATGTTTATATTTCTAGTATGTGTAATTTTATGAATCATCAACCAGCCTCTTGGAATTTTCATTGTAAAGGACATTTGGGATATCATAGTGAAGAATCAGGTGTCCTTCCAGAGTAAAAAAAAATCAAAAAAATCAAAGGGATCTTACTATTTTAGCCTGTCAGAATGTGGAAATCCACAGGTGTATTTATAGAAGCAACAAACATTTCAGGCTTTAAGTGCCTGCAAGATCTCTGACAAGCCATGTTTCAACTTGGACACTTTTCCTGCAAATACACAACTCTGAAGACCTTTGACTTATGCAAGTAGCCCTGAACAAGTTGCCTGGCCTTCGTGCACAATTAAAATCAAAGGGCTTTGCATGTAAGGAAATGGGAAATTGTTCAATCGAGAACGAAGAGTAAACATCTGTGTGCACATCTGTATTTACATAGGAAAAGACTGTACAAGACATTTTAAATAATCAGGTTGAACCCTTTTGCTGTCCTGGGAAAGAAACCCACTGAGAACAGTAAGTTTTTAATTCTTAATTTTGCTTCATCCCACTGTAGGATTCTGCTGTCATCTGACCTTTTGCTTTTTTAATAAAAGGGAAGTCATAGAGGGCAAGGGCACTGACAGGCTTTTAGTCCTTGTTAGGGAAAAGAGAGAAGAGGTTCCAGAAATGAACATATTTTTTAAAAAAGAAGAAAGAAAGGAAAACATGCCCAAATAGATAATAGATAACAAGAGGCCTGCTTGTCCTAAGGGTTGTTTGTTTAAACTAAGTACTTTTTTTTAAACTGGAAAAGCTTTAAATTGTAATCTCAAAGAAAGGAGAAAAGAAATCATTATTCAAGTGCCTCTGACAGCTTCCTGGTCAGTGCTTCTCTGGGTGGCGGGCTAGAGTCAAGGGCAATCATGGTGGCCTATGAGCTTCTTGATGGCCCTGTCCCATGGAGGTGGTCATCATGGTCATCTCCCTTCCTTCCTTCCTTCCTTCCTTCCTTCCTTCCTTCCTTCCTTCCTTCC